CAGCACTTTTAGTCAAATCTGGATTAGATTTAAGCTAAGTCTGCATGCTTGGCTTAATTGCAATAATTTCTAAGAAATATCTTCAAGAATTCTGAGTAACAGTATTTATGAATATATATATATTTAAATTACTTTCCAAAAGATTATTTTCACATTACTTATTTGCTGATTTGTTGCTGCTTACATTGCTATGCAGCGCTGTTTCGATTTCCAATTCCAATAAACTAGCTCGAAGGACTATTCATTGCAAAGCTAAAAGGAGCTTGACGATGGTTTGATTTCTAATTATAATGAATTGATTGTAAACACCTTTGGTCCTTAAAGCCACTATCAGTTCCATTTATGTTATTGGTGAAAATTTAAGAGCACTGCTTTGGTACAAGAATTTAAAGACGATTCCCAGAAATGTATTAAAAATATAAAGTAAAGTTTATGAACGCCATTATTGTATATTTTCAAGGAATTCTCTGACTTGTGTAGAGCATTTACAAAATTCCTTTTGGCTCGAAATGCAATAATCTCTGAGTCGTCGGCAGCCAGAAGACAAGGTTAGACATGGATGAAATGGCAAAGATGGCAAAGGCAACGGGCAGTTAAGGGGGAAATTAAATAAACATCATAAAAACTATAAATCCTATGGAATTTGCAATAACTTATTCCGTAACCAGAAGCTGTGGCTCCCCATGGAATCCGATGCCAATCCCGTTTGCCAATGTCCACTAAGTCAAATTGCGCTGCAGTTGTCACATTTCTCACTGGGGTCTTCTTCTTAGCTTTGGCTTCTAGTTTTGTGTAAAACTTTTGTGGCAAATACTTTTAGACAACTTTTCTTGGCCGACTCTCGGAGCAGCTGCCAACCTGGCTAAATTTCTCGATTTGTGTTACCCTCTTCTTATATGCATATATATTTGTCTGTATCTTTGTGAAAGCCTTTGTATCGTTCGATTGTCTTATTATGCGTTATAAATCGTATGACGGCTGTTAAACAGACTTAAATCTCTATAAAAATCAGAATGTATGCAAACGAGCATAAAAAGCTTTATTTCAGATACACCCACGTACACAGACGCTCGATGTGCGTGCGTTTATGTGTGTGTGTGCGTGCGTGTGTGCGTGCGCTGGGTCTGTCGTTTGGTTCACCCCTACTCTGATATATATCAAATATTTCCTGCATGCGTTCACAAAAATAATTTCTTTCGCACATTTTCTTACGAATCAAATTATGGGCCACCTATGTCAATGTGTGTACATGTGAGTGTGTGTGTGTGTTTGGGATTATTATGAAAATGCCACGAATTATTCGCGTATAAAAGTCATCATTAATTTCTCTCAGACGCTTTTTCCTGACAATCATTTTGGAATTTATGCGCTCATTCATGCGAGACGGTGGCTGAAGCCAGAGCTGCATGACAGGCAGCTGCCAATCGTGACCGCCTACATGCTGCCACGTCTATAGCTGTCGCTTGGTGGGCCGATGCGCTGGCACTTTTCAGTTGTTCAGTTTACCTCGAGCATTTGCGTTCGCCTCAAGTTTATTTTTTTACGAGTTCATCAAAGTTGTGGTCGATTTTAAAGGCGCTGCCATGTGACAAGGATAAACAAGGTCATAAAACTGCGTCGGGACACAAGCAGGAAGCGCGTTAAATGCGCCAAAGACTTCGGCAGAGATTCGCAATGCATCACCCAGGCAACGAAGACATCGCAGCTGCAGCTGCCACGCAACGTTGCTGAACAATGGCTGCGGCATTTATTATGCATACGCCCCGTAGTGCATATTTGTTGTGTGATAAAGTCGGTTAATAGTCGCATGAATAAAACATGATCAAAAACCAGACAACAAGATCTCGCCAGCGAGGTGCGAATGCCAGCCAACTTTTCCGGCTCTTTTTTTCGGCCTTTGTTGCAGTCTAATAAAAATTAAACTAAACGTCTTCAGCGAACTGTTTGGCAATTGGTCTTGAATGCGGCGCAAACTAATTTACTTGTCCGTTTTAATTATGGCAAGCTATTAAGCGGCGCGTAAGCCACATGTACCACACACACAGCGCGAGATAGATAGATAGATAGCGAGAGAGAGGGAGAGGCACATGTGTGGGTTGTGCGTAGCCAGTGGCATATTATTAGGCCATATAAATTCATGTCAGTCGAGTTTCGCTTTAATTAACTTTCATGTTTGTATTAGCCATTTTGTCTATGTGAGTCTAAAATGACTTTGCCACTCAGTCTCTTGCCACTGCCACATGTGGCACATTGTCATGGTCAAGTTTTGATCTTCCTGCGTTGTTGTTGCTGCCGTTGTTGTACAATGGAATTTCCCAAAAGCTAATTGGACGCCCAAAAACAATGCCGGCAGGACACTTGGCCAATTTGATGTATGTATGTGTGTGAGAGCGCGCGCGTGTGTGTGGGTATTTGCACATGCCAAGACTAGAAATTAATTGGCAATTTGAGCTTTGTCCAAAATCTGATAAATCTCTCGAGTGCCAAGCATAGCCATGCAACAAAAGGTTGTTCAACAATTTGCATTTGCAGTTCACACTGGCCAAACGGCTTCCCAGAACTGGTTGTAGCTGCTATTTGAGTTTGCTTTCGAATAATTATGAAACGCAATAATATCAAAGATTGTGCCTAAGTGCACTTTACTTATAGGGATTCTAGAGTATATACTACTATATCTATGTTTACTTTAACTTAGCTCTGCAAACACTGGCCAATGTCAAGCTAGTCAAAGTTTTTGTGTTTGATTTGGGCAAAGTTTTGCTTTGGCTAATGCTAACTGAAAATCTTTGGTTTAGCTACCCAGTTGCCGAGTGCTGCTGACTCAATTTGCAATTAAATTGTAGAATAAAGGCCAGTTGCTGCCGGAGAGGGCGCCAAGCACATAAACTTTGTTGTAAAATTTCAGGCATGACTGGCTTCAGTAGGCGCACCGGAAACGGAAATGATTTTTGCTGTCGTTGCTGTTGCTGCTGTTGTTGCTGCTGCTGCTGTTGCTGATGGAATGTACACATAATATTTACTCAACGCTTTCATTTCGGGTTTTGATTTCTGTTTGAAATGCATAAAAAATTCATAACAATTCTGTGGCCACTAAAAATGAAACACGCCAAAACGAGCGCCACTTAAAGGTCCAAAATGGGAAAATATTATTTTACGCTCAATAAAATGGCATTTTGAAATGTGATTTGTTTATGTTTATTTGCCGCTGTCGCTTGTTTGGACAGTCCAAATTGCCACTGGCGACAAATAAATAGATATCATGAAGACCATATCATCATCCGCGTATATATATTCAATTTCACATTGAAATGAGAGGGTGTTAAATGGAGTGCACTACACATATGAAAGAGAAAACATTTTAAGCAAGTGTTTCAGCTTTAATGCAGGTTTCCACTTGCAGTGCAAGCATAAATTTAAACAAAAGCTAAGTGCATTTATTTATATTCAACATATTCGCTTGCAGCTGTGCAATTGTACTCCGGACTGAGCATGCTTCACATAATAAAGTCCTCACAGCAGGCAAAACTCAGTTACCTTTTTTCCCTATTCTTTCCGTAAATGCGTTTCGCTTGTGGGGCAGAAACGTTTTATGCTGCATACTTTGCTGGCGTATTTATAAAGAAACCAGATACAGTGCAACAACACGGAAGCCGCTTCAGTTACAGCTGGAGCTGCTGCTGCCGTTGAGCTTGACGCCTGAGATATGACTCGGCGTTTAGCCTTCACTATATTTTTAGCTCATCCTTGACGGCGGCTACTATTAAACCATGAGCTAGTTAAGAGTTCGTGGGAAGCTGTTACCTGACACGACACTTCACTTCAGTTGAGCTTTACAAATTGAGGGTCAGCTACAATTAGAGGTGATAGAAAAGCAATTGGATCTGGTCAGATAAGCACGCAAATTAATGCAAATCAACAAGCTATAAAAAACTGTTAATTTTTCATATTCTAAAGCAGCTTATTCGCTGTCGTTAATTTGATTACTCTGGCCACTCACTGATTGGGTAAATATATTTCGACATGGTGGCAACGTCTAAAAGTAACTAACAGGAATCGCCTCAGTGTTGGCCAACTAAAAGCTATGAAAACTAATCGATATACATTATCGATCGACTGTTTAGCGCTCAAGAAGCACTGCAGACAATAAAATGAAACGCTGACAAGGCAAAAGACCTCGTCTGGCAAAAACTAATTAAATACGTATTGATGCATGAGTATCACGTCGGCGACGGCGCCGCCATTGACGTTGACTTACAGGTCACCTGTGCCGCTTAATGTACAAATAAAATGCCGTAAATGTTGTTGCTGTGCATACTAATTGCAGCAGACAGCGACGGCAAGGACAAACACTTTGACAAAATTGCCCATTTCTTGGAGCCTAAGCAGGAGCAGGAGCAGGAGTAGGCGTAGAACTAGAAGCTTGTAGAAGAAGCAACAAGCGTAGAAGTCACATCAGTCGGCCCAAGGCCTCGCACGCAGTCTTCGTGACCCCCTTGTCTATGTGCATGTGTGTGTGTGTGTGCGTGTGAGACACGACGTATTTGTGACATTGACTGAGAGACCCAGTTCTGGCTAACCGGCTGGCTGGCAGGCTGCTGGGCTGACTGGCTGGTGGGCTGACTGGCTTGGCCAACTTGTCCTTGCCCCGCCAAACAACAAACTGTTGCTTCTCAGCTGTTTGGCCCTATTGCCCCAGTGCCTTATGTTGCCCCTGCGTAGCGCGTGCGCATTGCAAGCTTTTAGTACAGTTGCTGCCGGGCCTGGGCTATGGCAATGGCCCCTGTTCGCGCAACAGTTTGGGGTATTCTTATGCTCGATTTTGGGACATTTGGCTAGCTGTTGCTTCGCGCCGTCGAGTCGAGCACGCCGCCGATTCCGATTCACGGCGAGTCTCCGTCTGTGTTAGACTCGAGTCTCGACTCAGTCTGTTTGGGGACTTCACTGCGTGCGAACGTGCGAGCATTCTAAACGCGTCTAAAAAGTAAAAACCACGCCGAACACTCCGAACAAAAACATACAGGTATACTAATATGGGGTATAAAACGCACGTATGATGTATACACCTGGTACATAGACACACACACACACTCACACACGCATATACTTACATATGGCTGGCATCTTCTATGCATGTGTGTGTGCGTAAGCTGCATATAAAAACGCGTTTAATTAATGTAAGAGTGTCGCTGTTGTTACCTTCTTTGTGGGCCATTATAATGGCAGCAATGGATACTTAGAGACACTCACTCAGCGTGCCAGTTGACGAGATGTTTGCCCTGTTTGCCGTCTGCAAAACTCATAAGCATTAATGTGCCATCCATTTTTCATGTGCCTCTTATAAAGTGCTAAAAATTGATTTTGCCACCAAAATTTAAACAAAAAAATAAAAAAAAATGTGCCGAATAATATAATTTGTCAGCTTGTGATTTATTGCATATTGTTTTCGTATTTTTTTATATATCTGTTTTTTATTACTTTGCAGTGTGCTGAAAAGGTTTTGTTAAACTCACAAATATCACGTATACGACGAGTGTTGCAGGTGAGCCATGAACATTAAGCTATATATATAATATATTAAATAATTAATTTGTATTTGTGCAATTGAATCAAGCTGAGATTTAATTTCATTAAAATTGACTGATTTCCGAAAATGTTTCCACTAATTACAATTTTCTGACACGAGTTCTACGAAATACTGAGGAACAGAAGGCTTCAGTCAATTGAAGCTTATCAATATTTGAATGTTATGAGCGAATGAATAAATCATTTGCCAATCAGGCGTAAAACACTGATATGCAAACAAATATAGTTTTTCGAAGTGTAAATACATTTGCGGAATTGTTTAGCAAATAATTGAAATAATTTGCAATCATTTTTATTGTGTTTCCAGTTGAGTACAAAGTTTCAATCTATTTTAAATTAAATTGAATGCAGTTCTGTCTTGCTGGCTTGCTTGATTTGCTGCTGACAAAGTCCAAGCACTTTCCAAGTGCTGCTCAATAAATATAATAACAAAGGAAAACAAATTGTAGGAAAATCGCTTGACCCCATTTCTCACTCGACTATCTTCGTTTGGCCAGCAGCGGAACAAAAAAAATATATATGTATATATATAAAAAAAAGGAAAAAGTTTTTCTTATTTTAATTTTTTTATGCACTTTGTAGATGCATTTTTTGTTGTTGCGCAAAACTTATGCAAATTCGTGCTTATAACTTTCTTTAGCACTCACGGAATCAAAAGTTATAAAACGAAAAAGAATGGAAAAGAGAATTAGTGAGGGAATGAGAGAGAGAGTAGCACATAATGCCTGGAAAACTTGAAGATGTTGCCAATTTTTAAGCGATTTTAAATAAGTCTCCCAGTGGCTGCTGATGTGGAGTGTCGCTAAATTATATTTTATTTTTAGTCGAACAAAATGTGAGCTGTGTCAGGGCATAATTTGTAATTCCCTTTGCCAAGGCAACAAAAGCCAACAACCAACGAGGTGTGGGGCGCGCCGGGGCTGCAATTTAAAATAATTTCCTCTGTTGCCCTAAATGGCATTAAGCATTAAGTCATTTTGAGGGCAGGCAAAACTTACAGCCAACAACACAATCAACTTGGCTTTTTGCGTGCGTGTGTGTGTGAATAACTGTGCTGCTATTGTGGCATATGCGGTTGTGTGCTCTACTGCCTTAATGGCATTGCACATTTATGCATATAATTGAGTCCCAAACAAGACGACAAACTCTTTTGTTGTTCTTGTTCTTGTGGCTGTTGTTGTTGTTTTCATGTCATGCTTCAAATTTTTTGCTTGAACTCCGCTCCCCAAATGTTTTTCAACAAGCAGCAGAAACTCTTTGAGTTGCTTCAGGCAGCAGCTCATTAGACTCCTGGCATAATAAAATATCAAAGAAATCAAGTTAATTTGTATAAATATTTTCGCATTAAATACTTTGCTCTATATGTACGTTTGGCAGTTACATACATTGTCTATTCGCTGTAGCTCCTTAATAATTGAAAATTTGATGACATATTTTTGTGTGTTTTGTATTTCGGAGCACAGCCTGTTTAATATGCATATGTTGGCGCTGCACGCAACGGACACACCCAGTATTCAAATTTTTTATATCTCGTTTGACTGTCCAGAGTCCTTCAATACGTTAGCCACCTACAAATGCAGTAAATTAATATCCATCACGTTTGCAACAGCGCGCAATTAGCGACTGACACGCGCTCGATGTCGCGCTGCACGGCTGGTTGTCGCAGCAACGGTAACAACAACAGCAACAGATCAACAGCAGCAACAGTCCATTTGCCACATTTTTGGCATGTTCAATTAGGCAACTGCAGTAATTTGCATTTGTTGATTTTGTCTGTCTCTCGACGCTGCATAAAATAAAATTGAGTTTCTCACAGCGAAATTTCAATGGAAGCACCACAAAGCAAAGTGCGACCACTCTGATGAATTATAAATATGACAGCATCATTTGTGGTGCAAATTTAATTAAATCAGTTTATTTTTAGCTTGATAGCAAATGTTCACATTGAATTGCGTGGACAAAAGGTTTAAAAAGTGTTTAAATTTGAGTGGACGCAAGGCGGCATAGTAAATGTGATTTTCAAATTATGATAATTTATAATGAAATTGAATGCCAGAAATAACTAAAACTTTTGTTTATATCACACTTTAATGGTTTATATTTAATGTACATAAGCATATTTAGGCATTCATTTTGAATACATTTGCTTAAATTTGAAGCTATCGATAAGATAGAAATTTAAGCTCATTAAGAGTGGCGGCTGACGATAGTTAAGCAACACTTTCGTAAGGGACAGTGAGGATACGATCGTATACCAAAATGTCTATCGAAGCATTCACAATGATTTTACAACACTTGCTTAACTCTTAATAACAAATACCAAAAAAAAAAAGAATTAAATTACAATTAAATGCATATTATATATTAAAGCTAAACACATGCATTTTCTTTTTACTTATGTTTATTTAGAAATGCTGAAATGTATGCTATATTTTAAGTGTTGACTTTAGTAGCTTAAGCAAAAGTAAATATGCGTTTAGTGCTGCGATAATTAATATCATTTACGCCATATGCTCGCCTAAATTGAAATTCATATAGCGTGTGCACTAATAACCAATTAAATTAAATTTTATGCATGACAGTCTTTGAGGATTCAGGAAAACAACAGCTAGAGCGGCACCAGCAGCAGCAGCGACTTAAGCATGACAACGCACCTTAGCAGATAACGCAATAGGCGTGGGCGTGGAGATGGGTTGGGGTGTGACTTGTGTTGTGTTATTGGGTTGCTGTTAAAGCTGCTAAATACCCAGAGCGCTGAGCTAAGAAGTGGAGCACTTATTGAAAACTGATTACACAGGCACAGGCGCTAGCAAACAAATATATTAAGACACTGAGCCACTGAGCCCGTCAGCCTGTGAGCTACTGAAGCGTACGGAATGGAAGCTGACGCATATTGCCTGGCAATTAAGCCTTACAGCTAAACAGATTGTGGCCACGCACGCGGAAGAGCAACAAGCAATAAACAAGATACGTAGCCAACTGTTGGCTAATACTTAAGCTAAGATGGTCAACTAGGAGTTCTTTTTTAGTTTTGTTTCGGATTAGTTTTGCGTGCGTTTACGCCACAATTGGCTGCATGTGCTTGTGTAATTAGCTTTGTTTTAAGCTCCGCTTTGTTCTGCCTAATTTCAATTATTTAGCGCACAACAACAAATAATTCAGAGCCTATAATTCCGCCACGATTGTTGCTGCTGGCTGTTCGCTGCTGGTGCTGGTGCTGCTGCTGCTGCTTGCCGCCTGCAGTTAGAAGCAATTCAATTATGGCAGCTCGTCTGCAACACTTGAGTAAATGCTCGAGCAGGTTTTACTTAGCACACAAACGCGCACCCACCCATATATATATATATATATATATATAGATATATACATATAGAAATATATAGCGTGCACAAAGCGAATGCCATTCAATTTTCAAGTGCATACTACGGGGAATAACTAAACAAATTACGCAAAAGATTTAATTAAGCAGCCGTAATGCCGGCAATGGCACAGTCAGGTCAAAGGCTTGCCCCGAGCCACCCACGTCAGCAACAGATAAAGAGCCGCCCGCATCGCACACACAACTTCGCGTCAATGTGCGTTGTGGCACGTTTCACGTGGCGTATGCATAATATGCAAATGTACGCGCACTTGCCGCTGTCACAATGAGTTGGTTTGCTATGCCACTGTTGCGTCGCTGTCTTAGCTATGATATAGCTACCTAACTAACCAGACAGCGCTTGTATGGGATATGTGACGCAACTGTCTAAATGTTGAAATGTCTAACTGCCTGCTCATGGCTGACAAGCGTTCGAAGTGGAACCCTTATCAATTGTATTATATTACCCAAGCCGCAAGCAAAGAGACGACAATGCGTTGAGCTCGATTTGACAATGGGTAACTCGGGCGAATCGCTCTTGAGTGGAGATACTTAACAATGCAGCAGCTCGGCTTTGACCTATGCTGCGTATACGTAATACCCGATGACAGTTCTCGGTCATAGAATCAAATGAAATAAGCTCCTTGGCTCTGCCCCATTTGTGCATTTGTTATGCTTATGACTGCTTATTGCGGTCATTAAATGCTCGTATATGAAAGTCACATATGTGCACAGAGACCTCTCTCGGTTTTTGCCTGCGTGTGTGTCGTCTTTTGACTAGGGACTAAATTTATTTATGTGCTTTCAGCTGATTTAATCAAACATTAAAGCACCTTTGAGTAAGATAAACATATTCAAGTTGTTTTCTATAGAAAAGAGAGAAGAGTGAAGAGAGAAGATTTAAGAGTGAAGAGTGAAGAGTGCAGAGTGAAGAGTGCAGAGTGAAGAGTGAAAGTGAAGAGTGAAGAGTGAAGAGTGAAGAGTGAAGAGTGAAGAGAGAAGAGCGAAGACTGAACAGTGAAGAGTGCAGAGTGCAGAGTAAAAGAGAAGAGTGAAGACTGAAGCCTGAACAGAGATGCGAGTCGAGACAACAGGGAAGAGAGAATACAGAAGAAAGCAATGAGAGGAGAAAACAAAGAAGAGCAAAGTCAAAAGGGAAGAGAAGAGAGCCAAACAGAAAAGAAGCAACGCTGAGATAACAAAGCCAATAATAAGCTAAGATATGCCTTAAGATGATTATGTAAGAGAGATATCAAAGCTCTAAACATGTCTACTGGCATAGAGGATCGCTTATACTTTGTATAATAAATATTATTTAATAATATACGGCTTTCGAGCTGATTCAAGGGAATTTTTAAAGCTGTTTTGCCAAGAATAATTTATTTTTCACAGCCTAGGCTACGGACGGCAAAGGCTGTTGCTATAGCTATATCATATGTCTATAATCTCCACAACTGGCTCTTGTATGTGGGAGTGTGTGGCTTGTGTACCTTTGTGTGTGTGTGCTATATACAAGAAGAAGAGCGCGCAACTGACAGTGGCGACCGTTTATCAGGCGCTGCTTTTGTCCTTTTTGCCAAGGCGCACAATAAATGAGGCAAAAGCAAACAAAATATGTGGCAGACTGCCTCGCACTAGTATAGTTGTTCTTTTTAACGGTTTGTGTGGTTGTGTTGAGTGTGTGTCATTGTGTGTGTGTATGTGTGCGTGTATGTCTAAAAGGACCATCACTTTTTTTTTAATTGAGACATCAGTGCGCTGTTGCTCGTCAGAGTCCACGTTTATTTTGGATTGTGTGTGCTTTGTGTGTGTGCATGTGTTGCCGACGTGTGTGTGTGTGCGTGCTTGTGTTTGTCTTCAGTTAGCGCTAAGCAACGTTTGCCACATATTGTTGTTGCCTTTGCTGCTGCCTATCTTCGTTTGGCTTTGGGCTAAAAATATTAAACTCACAAAGCATTAGATACACACAGTATTAGGCATATATATAGGGCAGTCTGTGCGTGTGTAAGTGTGTGTAAATGTGTGTACTCATGTATTTATATATGCCAAATTGTCAAATATAACAACAACAACCACAATAGCAACAATGCCAGCGCACACAATAACAACGAAAATAATTTTCGCGCTTTGTGCCTTTCACGTTCGTTCGTTCAGTTTTGTTAACATTTTGCTTTCATCATTTAATTTTGGGCTGCTGCTGCTACTGTGTGTGTGTGTGTGTGTGTAAATCAATAAAAGTGACCCACTGCGTATGTCCTCTTCTGTGGCTCACCTTGGTTACGTGCCCGTAGCTGTTCGCATTTCGCATTTCGTGTTCGCCTTTTCTCCTCTTTTGAGCCGCTTCGATTTGTTACGTGTTCGCATTGGCAATATTCAAATTCAGATTTAAGTTTGAATTTACGCTAATTTCGGCATTGATATTCATTAGCCATTTATCATCATAATGATAATGATGACGCCGTGCAGCTGTGGGCCTGTGTAAGCATTTTCTGCCCTGATTAAAGACCATCTCCGGTGGCTCAACATGAAATGAGAGCGTTAATTTTTCACTTTTCCACGTTGCCCCAAAATAAAAAGGACTCGAATTTCATTGTTTATCAGCCTCGGTCTTTTTTCAGTTCATGAATTTTAATTGGACACGACAGTCTGTGCTCGAATTCATGTTGAAAATTTGCCAAAAAGTTTTACTGCCAAATTTATATATATATTTTTAACATATATTCGAGTGCAGAAAAAAACTCTTGAAATTTGTTTTGTTTTGAAGTCCTGGCTTTCCCCTATGACCTTTGCTTTATTCTTGCTGCATTTCAACTGTTGCCAGCTCGTTACAGTATGTGTTAAAGGTGAATTGCGGGCAGTACATTAGAAGCTGTAGCAGCTGAGCCGACCTTTCAAACTATTTAATTGGGATAAGAATATTAAGGTCGTTGCACACTATCAAACATTTTTGAAGGAGACGGCTTCATGTTAATATAGAAAAGAGTTTTATATTTTGATAACAAAATGTTATGGAATAGAATGAATGGAATGCCAGCCAAAAGACCAGAATCGGTTTGATTCATAGAATATTTTTTCCCTCGCTCTATTTCTCTTACCATCTCTCTCTCACTCTCGCTGTCTCTCTATCTCTCTCTTAGTTGCTATCTTTCTCACTCCCTCTCTCTCTCTCTCCTTTCCTGTGTCTCTCTAGCTGTCTCTGTCTTGTTGTCTTTCTTTTTCTCTATATGAATGTCTCTCTTTTTATATTTTCTCTAAGTACAAGAGAAGATCTATCTACCTCTCACAGTACACTTCACACATTCTCTTCGTTTCTCTCTCTCTCACTCTCATTCCTTTCCATCTCCATCTCTTTATCTTTTTCTCTCCCTCTCTCAATATCTGTCTCACTGATTCTCTTCCATTCCCTCCGTTAATTTATCCATACCCCTCCACATCTCTCACTCTCTAGCATCCCCCTACTCTACCTCACTCACTTTGCATTTATCTTCATAAAAGTTGATACACATTTTGATTTAGCTTGAAGCTAAGTTATCGTAAAATTAATAATAAAGTTTAAATTTCTAAGGACTTAGTTGGTATTTACGTGGCTTTTATGTAAAAACCCAATTGGTTTTCCGGCTTGCCGACTGAACTAAACCCTATGCAGATGTAATCAACGTGAATACACGTTGTGGGTTTATTGATTCAACGTTTGAAGTTCAACACTCGCTTATGGCCTATAAATATTTAAGCCAAATTCAACTTATGCTCATTGGTTACGGCTTTAAGCTTCAACTGCTGACCTAGTAACTTGTCTTCGCAGCCGCCGTTTGTCTCTCCCACTCTCTGCCTCGTTGTCCGTCTGTCAGCCCCTGTGAATGCTTTTAGGCGCTTCTCTTAGCGGACTGCTGTCTCATATTTTATTTATTTAGCCATGAAGTACAAATGAGACGCAATGGCGAAAAGGAAAAGCACCAAGTATTTGTACTAAATAGTTTAACGTACGCTCTGAAATTTATTTTGGCTATGTTGCCCTCTGCTCTCTGCTCTTTGTCCTTCCGTCCCAAGTCAATTTGTGGCCATCATAGGAGCTCAGACGCTCTGACAGATGCTCTGATGCTCAACTACTCGGCGCAAACACAAACGTGTGCACAGAGAGCACAGAGTGTTTGCACAGTGACTGCAGAAAGTCAACTACCTCACGTATTTACAGTGAGCGACTTTTGACACATTGCATGGCATTTAATTTCAATTTGGCCAATTGGAAAATGGAAATGCAAATACGTTAAATACGTAAACAAATATATGTATATTTTTTACTTTTAAAGCAATTAATAAAGAGATAATGAGCTTAAACATATTTTCATAAAATTATGAACCAAACAACACACGTATACACTCACTCACATACACGGACACAGTCTGACACTCAATTTGAATGGCGCTCGGAGCTCATTTAACTTTTTAATTGTGCAGTTTTGTGTGAAGCTGGCGGAAGAATGAGATGAAAAACGAAAACGAATGTAAGATAAAAGTCAGACCGGCAATAAGCGCATTAATTGCCAGTGCAAAATAAAGTGGGAAGTGCTGCAAAACAGCCGTTACGTAGGCTATAAAATATAGCAGGAATATATTAAAGGAAAAAATCACAATTTGAAAACAAACATGAACATAAAAGGGAATATCAAAGCTAATTTTGCTTGCGCCAAGTGAGTGGCAGTGAGTTAAATTCAATAGAAAGCGAATATCGATATCATTGAAAGTAATTAGAATATCGATAACTGCGGGTCCTTAATACCCAACTGCATTTGAGTGTTGGTAAGCGTTTGAATTGAATTTAAAAATGTTTATAGCGGCAAGCTATCCATTTTTGAATTCTTTTTTATATTAAGCTATTCATAACGAATTAACAATATACCCTACTGCTTGCCAATGCAACAGGGTATTTGAAATGGTTGTCGAGTAGCTGCGCTAATGGCTGAGCGCGCGTCAGTGGCCCAACGGTGCGTGGTGCGTGGTGCTTGTTGCTTGGTGCGTGGGGCATGTGAAGTGACTGCAATTAAAAGCATATTCTGCCTTTTCACTCTCTTTATTTGCAGCACATCAGCGTTAGCGGCAGCAGCTTGAGCTTCAGTTATAACACAGCTGGCTGTTTGGGGCATTGGAACCGGAAGCGGAAGTGCTCATAGTTGGCTGGCGGTGCATAGTGCGGGCAGCAACACGGCAACAACGGCGGCCAGAATTTTTTCACGTTTGGATAGTGTCGAGGAGGTGCAACGCAGTCGCAGTGGCAGCGCTGTTGGAATAACGCCCGGCGGTGGTGCAGTGGCAGCGGCAGCGGTGGCAGCGGGTTCACCAGCCAGAACTGGCGGTGGGGGCGTGGGCGCGGGCGTGGGCAATGCGGCAGGAGCGCGTAATCGAAGCGCCAGCACAATACTCGAGTTCAGTCAGAGTCAACTAGGAGCGCACACGCGTAAGTATTCTAGCGGCGGCGGCGCAGCACTTCTCGCTGGCGATGTGAATGGGTACGGAGACAACGCGGCAAGTGCGAAATGCGATACATTTAATGGCGTTGGAGCGAGTGCAGGTGCTGGTGTAGGTGTCGGAGCCGGTTCAGGTGTCGGTATCGGTGGAGGTGCTAGTGCGGCAAGTAGAGGTGCACCGCAGGATAGAAGCTCACTTGGATCAGTTAATACGCCAGTCACAGCAGTCAGCAGCTTGGGAATAACTCTGCGTGAACGCTTGTCCATCAGTGGTGCATCATCGAGTAACGAGTCAGGCGTTGCGGCTAGTGCGGGCGGTGGCGCTGGTGGCTCTGCGCCAACAATAGGCGGCAGCAGCAATACAAGTGCGCCACATTGCAAGCGACAGGGCAGCTTCTCGAATGTATTCTCCAAGCTAATCGATGGTATGCCCGCTGGCACAATGTTCGCTAAGTTCAAAAGCGCCAACGTGGCGGCCACCACATCCGTGCAGAATGTCGCCGAGGGCAATCCCATTACGCAGTACTTTGAGATTGGCAAGCCAGTGGCCTGTGCCGGCCCAGAGCTCGTCTGGCGCATACACGATGGTTATCGCAAGAGTGACAACAAGGTGAGCGCTTCAAAAAATACTGTTGCCAATCTAAATTCCACGAATTTAGCCTCGCCATCTCTCTCTCTCTCTCGGTTTTCTGGCTCTCCCTATAGGAATGCTCGGTCTTTATATTTGAGAAAAAGGTGGCAGAGAAACTGCACAAGCCGCGTCGCAAGGAGACCATTACAGAGTTGCTAAAAGGCTCGGTAAAGACATTGGAACGCTTTCGTCATCCCCGAGTGAGTATCCCCTTAATATATATAATTTCACAAGATACCGCAATGTAACTACCTCGAAATATATAGCTAAATATATTAAAGTTTCCTTTTAATAACTTTTATTGCTAAAGCTTTTATTGAGTTGAAAGAAGTTATCCAAAATATGTGCAAGGAATTTCACAAAAATATTTTTAGCTCATAAATTAGATGACATCAGAAAACCACTAAAATGATGCCAGTTGAGTGTGAGGTACTAGGACATACCCTGTAAACAGCAGGACTTGAGCCCATCAGCTTTAAGCTGTTGACCGATTGATGAGGACCTGAAAAACTACAAAGCTTTAATAAGCAAATTCCCAATTTTAAACGGACAGCCAAACAGACTAGGCACTTGTTGCTGGCTTGAAGATGATGACATTGAAGCATAGTTTATATTTTTCGATTAAAAAAACTCTGTTAAACTTATCTAACTTTCACTTTTCCTATAATATATATTTGCCTATTAAACTCTCTATTCGCAGATACTTCAAATCTATCACACTGTAGAGGAAAGTGCGGACACGCTGGCCTTTGCTGCTGAGCCCATTTTTGCCAGCCTTTCAAATGTGCTGGCCTTTCATGTGAGTTGGTTTTTTTGTTTTCATTTTTGGCTCGCTTCACAGTTTTCAGTTCAATTCAGTGCGGTTCGGTTAGGTTAGCCTAGGTTGGGTTTGGCGCTCTCTTTTAGGGAGCTGGCCAACAGGATATACAATTTGCGTTGTCGCCCGCTGCTCCATTGTGTTTTGGGCTCTATACCTTTTACAGCCAACTGCTTCAATCAACTGTCGTTGTTGGTGTTGCTGTCGTTGCTGGTAGAAACAAGGTTGTTGCTGCTGTTGTTCTTTTTGCGTTCGCTTAAAGTTTCGTATGGCAGCCAGTCAACTGCATAGTTTGGTTTTTGGTTCAAGTGCCAGGCAGCACAGCAATGTGAGCTATGCATAACACACCCACACAAACACACACACATACACACATTTACACTAAGTCACCAATACGACAAAATCGAATTACAGTGCGTGCTTGCAAAGTTTACGCTGTGGAGATTGAGTCAATAAAATGATTCGTTTCGCTAGCGTAGTTCAGAAATTGATACACACACAAACACACCTACACACACACACACCCAGCTATACTCCCACACAGGTACACTAACAGTAAAGTGCTTTGTTTTTAGCTAGCGCAAGCCAACAAAGCTCCAGACAATATTTTAGTTTATTGAGGAGCACACAGCAAGGGCAAAAACAATCGAAAGAGAAACAAAATTCGAATCGAGTTAAATTACATTGAAAATTGCATGGGTACAAAGTCGAATTGTTTTACAGAATAAACAATATCTTCAAGAATATTGAAAGGAAAGCACAAAAGTCACAGTTTATAGAACTATTTGTACTCTACAATTCATAATCATCTGAGGGAACGTGCTAAACGGAGAACAAAGACAAGTTTTTAACGCCATTTCAATTGAGATTATAATTCAGCACAAATTCTTCACTTAGGAGGTGTTCGGCCGTCAGTGCAGATATGCTAGACTTTCTTTTTTGGTATTTTTTGCTACCCCTTAATGTCTTTATTGTCTGCAAAGTTTATGACTTCATGACATAGTTATTCTACCCGGTGGGAGGCGGCGAGCAAAGTGAAAAGAAAAATGCGAGAAAAATTGAAAAAGCAATTGCCATAAAATGCAAACAGAGCTTTCTTTTCTTCTACTTCTTCTTTTTCGTTTTCGTTTTCTGTTTTTTTTTTTCTTTGGGTTGGTTGAGTCGACGTGTCTGCCAATTCTTATGCGCCACGCTGTCTTGCAGGAGTCGAAAACGTATGAGAATGCCAGCGTGGCACCCGCAGCAGGTGGCGGTGCGACGCAGACGCAGCCTGCTGCCGCTGGAGCCCAGCCACAACGGCCGGCGCATGCAAAGGAATACAATTTCTTGGATATGGAGCTAAAATATGGATTCTTGCAGGTAAACCAAACAACTTCATGCCAACGTGTGTAGTTGACTCTATAACAGAGTGTTTCTCTGCGGCTTCTCGTTTGCAGCTAACGGAGGCTTTGTCCTATTTGCACTATTCCGGTCACGTAATTCATCGAAATGTGTGTCCATCCTCTATACTAATAACCAAGCGGGGCATTTGGAAGCTGGCGGGCATGGAGTATGTGGGTAAGTTTAGCAGCACATTTCAATTGGAATGAATGCCACTGGCCACTCGCCACTCGATTTGTATTCATAATACCCATTGTTGTTGTTATCGTTGTTTTGCAGAAAGAATGAATGAGACTGATTTGAATAGCTCAATTCCTTGCCCGCCTTGGAGCAACAGGGTATCCAAAATGGCGCAGCCCAATCTCGATTTTATGGGTAAACAAAACGTGGCCACTTAAAAGCAGAAACAACATCCTTTCCCTCTCCGTCTCTCTCTCTCTCTTTTCTCTGCTAGCACCCGAAACGCAGACCAGCTCGAAGTGCAGCCTGCTCAGCGACATGTTCTCACTAGGCATGGTCATCTGTGCGGTGTATAACAATGGACGGCCACTCATACAGGCGGGCAACTCTACATCCAACTATGCCAAGCAACTGGAAACGGTAAGAGTCATTCACTCAGCTTCCACTTCTCACTCACTCACTCACTCACCGGCTAAATTAATTTGCTGCTGTTGCCCGCGGCCAGATCTAAAGCCAAGTGGCAATTGGTGTGGCTGGCAAAAGTTTTGCGCCGCTTGTGTTTGCGAGCTGTAATTAGATTCGGCGCTTTGTCAAATGCAAATGTAATCAAAAGTCCACTTGAAACTCTAATTATTCAGCCAGGTGCTGAAGCTGATGCCGAAGCCGTTGCTGAAGCTGCATCTGCCTCGGGCCATGTCATTAAAAGTTTTGGCCCCATTCAGCCAGACTTCAAGTGTTTGGCTTCAATGTTGTGGCCAAACAGTATTATTATTTATACTTTTTTTTCGCTATTTGGTCATCTGGCTTGACTTGTCATTCATTATGCACCGTGCTCTTTCCTTTTCTCTATTCTGCTTCCAGCTGGATGACCATGTGCACAAGCTAATGCCGCGTCTGCCCATTGCTCTACAGGAGGCGACATCTCGCATGGCCAGCCGGGATCCGACGGCACGACCCACCGCTCAGCTGCTGCAGTTGATCAAATACTTTATGTGAGTAGACAACTAGCTAACTTGGCAACCCACTCCTGGTCTTTCGCTCCCTATGCTGTTTCCTTTTCTGCAAATTAATTAACTTTTAACTAAACGCAAAGCAAGCAAAAGAAAAAGCGACAGCAATTTGCGCAGTTTTAGCAAAAGTTTTTTGTTTGAGTTTCAAATGAAATTGACACCTGTTAAAAACAGCCACTCGCACACACACATAAACCCACACACACAATCGCCCTCGCATACACAGGCAAACGTAAACAAGACACGCAATCTCTAAGCCAATTTGTACATGTAGCTAAAATTCAATTGAAGCATTTACTTTTACCACACCAAGCTCTGAATGAACGAGCACACAGACTCCACACACACACACACACACCTTAATTACGTCTGTTTGGTAAATGAAAACGGTAATCAGGCTTGAAAGACACAATGCGAATCTCTTGAGCTGATTGTGAGTAGTGGAAAGCGAAGGAGTCGCCACGCTCGGCCTCCTCTAGCCTCCTTTGCGGGTGCCATTGGATTTATGACGACAGCAGCTGCTAAGCAGACAGCCAAGGGCCTCGCAACTGCCTTGAGCGAAAAACGCGGCAGCAACAGCAACGAATAAATTCGTAGACTGCTGGGCGATTAATCCACAGTGGGCTAAGCTTGTGATACATGAAACCTACGCTTCTGCGTAGGTAAATGTGCAATAGTCGAGAGCAGCTGACTAGTAAATTGGAAGGTCGTAGTAGAGTAGGTACTTAGACGAACTAAAAGAGCTATGACTCTTGAATATTGAACATCCTTTGACCAAGTTCAAGTGGCTAAAAATAGGCAGTTACTCAACATGTTTGGATAATCGGAAGAATAAAGCAGAATTCTCGTGTTATTTTCAAAGATTTGACCTACTTCCAATAGTAAGTAATAGTAGAGCAGGTACTTAATAGATGTAAAAGAGGTATGACTCTTAACTATTGAACATCCTTTGACCAAGTTAAAGTGGCTAAAAATAGGCAACTGCCACATGTTAACATGTTGAAAAATCGAAAGAACAAAGCAGAACTCTCGTATTATTTTCAAAAATTTGACCTACTTCCAGTTTGGCTAAGTTTAAAAAATGTGAAATTCATATAGTTTGCATTAATACTCGCAACACTGTGCTGTGTTTAGACAAACTGAAAGTCACGGCTGTTGCGATGGCTGCTGTGCTGGCAAAATCGGTTGCTTGGCAAAAATGAATGGCACACGCCCCATTACCGCCCACCAGTCAGTCAGTCTGCTGCGTTGGCAGTCAGTTAGTCGCTTGTTGGCGGCACTTTGAAGTTCATTTATATGTTATCAGTGTATTCTTTTATCAAAGTTTTTTTAGCTGCGTTTGCAAATAGCTCAAGTGGGTCGCGACAACCAGCTCGGGTTGGCTGTCTGCGTGGGCTCAGCCAGCAGCAGGAGAAGTCTTTACGCTGATTATGTTGCCCATGGCTAATCAGCTGGGCTGCCAGGCAGTCACACGGGCTAGCGGGCTAGCGGGCAGCCGGGCATTTCTTTTAATGGCGCTTCGTGTGCAACGGGGCGCATACGCAATGTGATTTAAAGCCGCACTCCTGGATTGCTTAACCAAGCGCATGCCGCAAGTTTTTCATTCCCATTGCCAGTGCCACATAATTTAACTGGATTTGACTTTTATCGCCATTATACAATTACCCGCAACGGCAACGCTCCAATTCCTGCGCTTCGATAAGAGCTTCTGGCGGATGATCAAAAAATAAATGCAAACCACCAAAAATTCAATTATTTTTTTTGCTAATTAAACTTTAGCCAATTAGATATCTACAACAATTAAAACGCATTTAGATAAAGTTTTCCACACTTCAGTGGCGACAAAAGTTTGCGCCCGCAATAACTAAAGCTTCCCCCTAGCCTGCATAACTACAGATAAACTCTGTATATATAAATAAATATGTGCGCTTATATACCACAAATATGCTAGGGATTAAGCTATAGTTTTGTAAAAATAAAAAGTTGGCAACAGTTGATGCTATGTTTGCCTGAAAGGAATAACATGCCAACAAATTGCAACATTTTTTTTGCTTTGCTTTTTAATTTGACTGTCAAATGCTGCAAAATTGTGAAAAATTCCTGTTGAAATATGTTTGTTGAATGTTAACGAAGTTATGGAGTTGCTGCAACAGTTGCAGGGTATATACAGGGTGTACATATGCAGGCAGTAAATTTGCCCTGTTGGACGCCAATAAAAGCTGAGCGAGTGCTAATAAAATTCGTCATATTCTGTATTTAATTTGAATGGACTTTTCTTGTTGGCCCGTGTTTGCAGCGATCCGGCTATAAATGCGCTGAAATTCCTGGACGTGGTCAACATGAAGGACACGCAGCAGAAGTCACAGTTCTACAAGACCACCTTGATAGAGGCCATGCCGCTGATACCGCGCGTAAGTACCCATAAATTGAACCCAAAAAAGCCTTCGCTGCGGAAACGGAAACGGATATTGGCCAGCTTGCGGACGCGCCAGCCATTTGTGCTGACTGCTGACTGCTGTCTGCACTGTGAATGCATTCATCATTTATGGCGACAAGTTGAGCTCTTTACGAGCAATGACAACAGCAACAATTTGCAAATTACGAGCACTTTTATGACCGTTGAAAAAGTGTCACCTAAAGCGAGTCAGATGCCTTTGTCTTGCTGTGCCTTTTGTGGCAGCACCAATTGAAATGCCATCGACTAGTTGCACGTAGATTTGGCTTATTGTTTTCTCTATTTTTATTTGCAGAAACTTTGGTGGCAGAACCTGTGGCCCATGCTTAAATCGGAGATTAACAATGGCGAGGTGCTTGCTGCCGTTCTACAGCCCGTCATGCTTTTCGTCCAGGAGGCAACGCACTCGGAGTACGATGCCCTAATGTCAGCCACAATGAAGTGAGTGCCACGCTCTCATTAAGCGCCCACACACAAATACACATATTTTTAGGCTCGCATATACTACTTAGGCGAAGGCTTACCGCCTACAATTTAACTGTAAAGTAGCGCTGAAATTTCGTTATTGTTTGTGGGCTCTCGAGCTGTGGTTCCTGTGGCTACTGCGGCTGCTGCTGCTGTGGCCACCGCCGATAGCTGCTGGTCGGCCAAACAATAGAACTCAACTTTTCTGCTGCTGCTGAACAATTGAAAAACTTTTGTGGCACTTTTTATTTAATTTTCATGGCGTTTTATTGCACGCGCACACTTATATCGAGAGCGATAGACACAACACAGCATAGACAAGCGGACGGCTCATATTGTAATTTATAGACCGCAAGTTGTAGTTAAAGTTGGTGCCACGCAAAGTTTTGTGTCGGGGCCAACTATGTCAGGGCAAAGCGCACCTTTTGTGGCCACAACGCCGCTAGCTCGGCATACATAAATTAGTAAACCGCATGGACACATCTGCTGCTGCGAGGTGTAGTCGAGAGAGTTTTTAATAGAAATCATCACAGTTATGTTTACTATAAATTAGAGAGACCAGTTAACAAATTCGAGTTTCACAGACCAAAACTTTTTATAGGTTTCCGATTGCTTTATGGCAAACCTTAGCCTATCTTCTTTTCTTATTCTTTTAAGCTTTCTGTCAGCAATTTAGTTATTGATGCTGAGGCTCCGCAGTAACGAGTTAATCAGCCAGTCTGTGAGCCTTTTAGTCTGCGCCCCAGTCAATCAGTCAGTTATTGAATGAGTAAGTCTATCAGCTCTTCAATTAGTCAGTCGCTCAATACGCTATCTAATCAATAAGTTAATATCAGTTTCTATCAGTCAGTATCAATCAGTGTGCCTAGCAGTCAGGCAGTGTGTCAATCATTCAATCAGTCTGTCAGTCAATCAGTTCATTCACTATTTCGACGTTTAATCAGTTAATCTGTCTGTCTTTCAGTAATGCAGCCAGCTCAGCATTCACTTATTAGTTAAGCCGTTAGTCGGCTTATCAAAGCTCTTTTAGAAAATATACATTAACATTTACAACATTACAAACAGCCCTCGGCATAGTCTAACTTTTGACTAAGGCGATCGGCAAAAAAAGTTTTTTTTTCGACTGTTGTAAGACGCTTATTGACACGGGCATAAAAGTTGCAAAAAACAACTTTTCACACACAGACACACACGCACACACACATATATGCATACACATAAGGCCCAGTTAGTGTGCAAAAATAATGAAGTATTTATTTGGGTTCATTTTTTATACAAATATTAAATAAAACAGTCGGCAAACTTTTGTGCGTCATCAGATTAAAATATATGTGTGTTATGTTGATATAAATATTATATGTATTTGCGTATTTGCTTTGTCTGGCTAAAAATAGGATTGTCTACAATACGCCAAAATCCATTCAGGCGAGCGTCACGATACTTGAGAACTTGCATTTGATAATTGAGAAGACGAAACCGGAGGATGTCACCACAGATATAATGCCGATGTTATTCTTTTCATTCGACGGCTCCACAATACAAGTGCAGGTAAGCACAATCCGCAGACGTTGCCTTCAATTTACCTGCCTCGCCATAGATATGCAAATTAGTTGCAGAAGGAGCGAGTCGCACGTGGGTAGAGCGGGTGGACGAGGTAGAATGGGTTGACAAGTCAACAGAGTTGGCATTTGCCTTAGCGTTGATTGCGTAATTACAGCAGAAATTTCTTAATTAACTGTGGCACAAAGATAGCTCTTCTAAGCAGCTCGGTTGCCACTTCAAATTTATTGCCAACGAAAGTAATTTTACCTTTTGCGCCTGAGCACCTCTGAAACAAGGCCAGGCGAAAACAGTTTCCAGCACTCGAAACTCGAGCATTTAAAGTCGTTTGTAAATTGAAATAGAAACCACTTATGTGGCAGGCCAGACAGTACTTAAATTGAACAAGAATTTTCCAATTTGTAATATTATAGATTCTAGATATTTGCCCCTCTAACACAAAATTTTCTATCGCACAGAGTGCAGCTGTGGTGGCTGTGGGTAATGTTTTCGATAGCATCGATGAGCTGTCCATAAGGCGCATGGTCTTGCCCAAGGTGAAGATGGTATTCGAGAAGAACATAACGGACCCAAAGATTGTGCAGAACGTGCTGATATGCATTGAGCGAGTCATGGATCGTATGGAACGGGCTCAGGTGCGTATTAGCCACTAATCCAAGTCTAAACAATGCCACTTAAGCTGGGCTAACAACTGCAGGTCATGGAGGAGGTGCTGCCCCTGTTGGCCAATGTGCGCATACCCGACCCAGATATTATCATGCGGACTGTGCGTAAGTACAGAACCAACCTCTAGATAAATTCAATTGATACTAAATGCACACAAAAAGTTAATAGAATTTTACACACGCCCACACACACACGGAGACACATACAAACATACAGACATACAGACATACAATCAACGAGCTTTTCTATTGTGCCAATAAAAACTAATTAAATACCATAAAATTGAATCTCTGCCAACTGTGCGAGTGGGCAACGGCTTGCGGTTAAGCAATCTGAAATGGCTAAAAAGACTTTAAAATCTAGGATATATATGGTTGTGTTTGTATCTATAAAAACAATTTCTAATACTTTTTTAATTTAATTTAATTTAATTAATTTTATGCAGTCTATTGAGCTGTACTGAGTTTTAAGACTTTCAGAGACTTGTCTATAATTTCCTCTCACAATCTGCTGGTCATTGTGGCACAGTTAAAGTCGTTCGTAGTTCAATTAAAGTCAATTTTGATGCTTCTCTATATAGTGTTCGCTCGGATTGAAGCACATAACCGTCTCGAATTCTACTCTCAGTGATACCTTTAAATATGTTACACTAAACAGCCAATGATTTTACCGCAAGATTTAACTGATATGATTCAATTGAATCCATCGTATCAATTCAGACTTGAGATAAACAAATTAAAGCTTGCTGTACAGTGTAAGTGAAAAATCCATCAAAACGTAGAAGTGCCCAAGCTGTTGGCTTATTGCCTGCGCGCGCGAGTGTGTGTGTGTTTGTATTTGATTAGAATTACGCTGGCAACAATAACATGACAGTTGCTTACTATTAATGATATGACATACAATTTATAGGCATCTACCACAAGCTCTTTGCCGACAAATCCTATGGCTTAACCGTGGAGACGATGGCCACCAATGTGCTGCCCTTGCTGATACCCCACACTGTCAATCCGTCGCTCAATTTCGAGCAATATTGTTATCTGCTTGAGGTATGAGGATGGCTCAGCCGCATAATATTCTCAGGGAAATTGCAAAATTTGTTGGTTTGTCGTTGCAGGTGCTGCAGCAAATGCTGGAGGCCATCGATCGGCAGCAGCGCAACAAATTGAAGCTGGACAACCTGTCGATGGCCTCGCCGGAACGGCATCGCACACTACGGCATCAGTTCTCCACGGACAACATGAACGCGCCGCCATTCAATATACCCAACTTGCGTATTGATCAGCGCAAGACCTCCAGTGCCGAGGATATGGCGCGCAAGAATTCTGGCGGTAAGTGAATTCCCATCAAATGTGCAGCTGTGGTCGTTAAATGCCCTGGTAGCAAGTGGGCGAGCTGGGCAGCTGGGTGCGGGCAGGGAGGGGGTTGCATAATGAATAATGAGCTTAGAGCAGCTTAATTGATCATTTTCATTGGAATTACCATTGGAGTTTCCATTTGATATCCATGGTACGTGACAGTTTAGCATTGTTGGACGCCTAATCAGGATCCCGTGTCCAGCAGCGCTCACTAATTTGTCAAACCGAAAATGAGCCGTGAGCTGTGGCATTTAATTGTATTATGCAAATTAAAAAAAATCGAAATTAAAGCGAAAAATTAAAATTTAAATGAAAATGAAAACCGTATAATCAGAGCCCAAGCAACTGCTAGCAGGAGATTGAGTTACGTGGGGCACGTGCTACTTGGAGCTACAGCACTTAATGAACTTTCAACCTTAACGATGATTTATTATGGTGTCCTTAATCGCTTGTAAACACAATGTCATGCCCTTTGGGCATGTGGGTGTCAGTCTGGCTGTGTGTGGGTAAACTTTTAATTTGTCGCAAATGCATGAGTTGTATGCAAGTCAAAAGGTTGCCATGTTTTTCGCACCTGGCCCACATTTCACGGCCTGTTGCAATGTCAACTAAAAACAGATGCGTGTGTGAGTCTGTGGTTTCATCTCTCTTTCTCTCTCTCTCTCTCTCTCTCTCTCTCTTTCTCTCTCTCTCTCTCTTTGGTCAATGAACAGAGCAGCCTACATATTGCAAAATTGACATGTTGTTGCCACGCTTTCCAGTCAACTGCAAAGAAACAGGCTGCTGTGTAGTGGGTCCAACTGGTGGGCAAGAGGGAGGCGAAATGGTGTAGCTTGTAACATGGGGCTCTGCAGCAACACTGCGGATTTTGCGGTTAACAGTAAACAAACACGCAGAGAGAGAGAGAGAGAGAGGGAGTGCCTAGCTGTTGCTTGTGCCCTGCTTATTAACTGTAGTTCAACAGCTAACAGAAACACACTCAATATTTGCACTTCATTGCATATGTTTAGCAATATTAAGTATACGCATGGTTAGTCGCCTTCAGGTGAATCGAGAGGCAAAAGTTTGTCAGCACTCTGCAATTTTCAATTAAGGAGCGCATAAAGAGTATACACAGTTGAGCTGGAAGCACAAAGGCGAGAATTGAAACTAAGTCGAGGCCTGCGCTGGGAAAATCAAGTGGAAAATCAGGCAGGAATTCAATCGAAATGTAAAACGCATCAAGGTTAACTTTTCGTGCTTGCATCTCTGATATTTATGTGCAGAGCAGTCACATAATCAAATAAACTTATTCCATATGCTGTTGGTGAGCTGTAAAAAGCTGTCGAAACAGACGGCGAAAAGTAATTTATGTTTTTTAATATTTAACTCATTTACGAATTTTTGAGCTTTATTAATTGAGTTTGGCGTGGATTTTTAACAGCATTTATGTAGTAGGCCGTAAAATTGAGTAAAAACGGTATGCGCAACGGATTGAAATGTCACTGTGGCTCAGTGTGCAAGCATTCGAGTAAATAACTTTTGACGCAAATTACCAGGTGCAGCAGTAAGAGAGAAGGAGAAGGCGTGGGCTAGGCTAGGCTAGAAGCAGAGTGGGGGATTGGGGGGTTGGATGCAGAGGGTCGAGTCAGATGCAGGAGCCACAGCTTTAACCGCAGATTGTGCGTTTTGTCCTTGACAGTGACAGCGGGCGAAGGCAAACCTGACAGGGCCACACATAGCCACACTCGCAGACACCCACACACACACACACAGACGCACACATAGTGTGTGGCAGTGAATGTGTCTAGTGTGGTGGTCCAAATGTTTGAGGTCTCTCATTATTAAACCCAATTAGCTGACCACTGTTTATGCAATTTTAATTGTAAATCTCTATATGTAACTATTTTGCCTACGCTCAGGCTCTGGCATGCTGGGCGGCTGGTGGTTTGGCTGCTCGCCATCGTCGCCGGATAGCAATTTCCTGCGCGTCGGCAACGTGTTTCCCAATCGACGGCTCTCGGACAATACGCTGATGACACCAAAGATACGAATCGCACCGTCGTGCGCTTCTTCGCCAGGCGGCACGCCAGGCAGCGGCTTGCCCACCCGTCGTCATTCGAGCATTGGACCCCAGGAGCGACGCGGCTCCACCATCAATTTGTCACCACCAACTGTAAGTTGTTTGTGTCTGCCACGCGACGTGGCACGTTGCGCATTTTGGGTTCATTTTCATTTATTATTATTTATTTATTTATATTTTATTTTGCGAGTGCAGTTTTGTTTGCTGTGGTTACTTCATTTAGCATTCAGTTGAGCTTTTCTTTTTAATTTTCGTTTCTTTTCATTTTTATTCTTTCCATTTTTACTTTTTCCTTTCTACTTTTTTGTGCTGCTGCACTGACCTTTGGCTCGCTATTGTTTGCTTTACCGCTGACAGTCATAAAGGCTTTCGGTTATTTTATTGAAAAAAAGTTTGATTTTCATTCGCTTTCTTATTTTTTGTTTATTTAATATTTTCATATGAGCCTTACAATAGAGTTTTACATTAAAGGAATTGTATTTAACTTTAGCGCCTAGCGAGTAGCATTTAGCGTATATTTACAGTTAACAACAAAGTACAGTTGTCATCAACCAGAACAACAGCCGCTTAACATGAACATGAGAAACATGCAGTACTATTATATAATATTATACGATTCCTTTTACTTTACTTTTATGATTTGCCCTGATATCGACTTTTGTATATTTATAAGTACTTATGATCAGCTCATTTCCCGCAACGAACGATAAGAGAAGTCAATTAACAAACGCTCTAACACACGCTCTTTTATCTTATCTTCACTTTCCCGCCCCTCAAAACATTCGCTCGTCTCAACACAAAAAAAAATATATATATAAAAAACAACAACAAAACACAAAACAAACGTCGTCGTCGTCGTCCTCGTCGTTGGGTCTTTACTTCGCTTTTCCTATATACATATTAAATACATATACATATATCACATATATTCGTATAGTACGGCGCTCGAGGTAGCTCTGGATCGAGTCTATCGGTGCCCTCAACTTCGGCCTATGTTGTAAGTCTAAAAAACAAAGAAGTGTTTTCCATTGACATATTGAACAAATTAATAATATAATAACAATTGTAATAACAACAACAACAACACGCTGCACGCTGTGCTTGGGTCGCAATAGTCAATAGTTAAGCAGCATCCATATCCAAAGAGAGAGCAACGACTTTTGGATATATTGATTAAAACTTGTGTCTTGTGCTGTTTTTGTTAACTGTTCTTGTTTACGATATTGTTGTTGTTGTTGTTCTCGTCCAAAAGCAGTCAACACTTGCACACAACAGACATACACTCACACAGACAAAACATACATACGTATATAAAACGGCTGCTACCAAAAGTATTTAGTTGGCTCCGAAATGTATGCTACGGTTTTTGTATATGGGGCTCAAATATGGCGGGCGAAAGTCGTTCGCTCGCTCGCTCGTTCGTTCGTTCCAAACTTGTTTCTGGTTCTCTCTCTCTCTCACTCTATGACTGTCTCTGTCTCTTTCTCACTCTCTCTTTGTATATTTTGAATACCGCAACTTGCAAGTCAGTTTTGGATCTGCGCTTGAGTTTAAATTTGAATTGAAAGTTGCATTTGTTGCCTTACTAAATAGAATCTACTCCGTATATTGCCTGTCTCGTTCTGATACTCTCTGTAATTACCTTTGACGTGCTGCCTGAATGGAACAAAAACAAAACAACAAATAAAAAACTTATCAAATCTGTTTTTTTTCCTTTTGTTTTCTTACTTTCGTTTATATATCTATCTGTTGCTTTCTCTGTCTCTGTACTGAAACTTGAACTAATTTGCAACTCTCTTGATTTACATTTTGTACAGTCGTTTCGTTGATTGTTGTTTTTCTTTACTCTCTGTACTCTGTGTATTGAAGAGGCTGTTATTTGGTCGCCAGCGTGGTTGTGGGCGTGGCAGTCTATCAAGCTGGCTGCTTATGCTAATGCAGTGTGTTTGAAATCTTTTACATCAATCAATTATTTGTGTAAATTCCAAACTTAACTTTGTTTTACTTTAACTTATATTTTTCGTTCCGTATACATTGTGAACCTTTTGCAACATGTGTAAATATATATGTGCCTGAGCATTGTTAAAAGAGTTGTATAAGAGCTGTCTAAGAGCTGTAAGTAAAGGTCACAGCAAGTTTTTCTCTTGCTGTTCAACAACATCGTTGGTCTCTAAGTCTTTGTTTAACTTCAAGATTACCTTTTTGTGATAATTAAGTATACACATCTATATATTTGAGTGGTTTTTATTTGTGTTCGAAACAGCTGTATTTACTTGCCCCAAAAAGTATGCTAAGCAAGCTCGACTTTCAATATGTATATTTGTTGTTTCTCAACTGATCAATTTTTAAGCTAACTGAAGTAAAATTTAGGAATGTTGAACACACATAAAATACGAATGATATACATCTCACACAACAACAAAACATCAATCATAAATAAATGTATTCTGAAACGAAAAAAAACTTGTAAATTCTAAAAAACTTATTCATTATATATCCCGATCGTGCTCAGTTGTTGATTTGATTTTGTGTTTCTTTTTGTTACTGTACTTCTTGTCCTCTTTGAACGGTATTTAAAAAGTGAAAACTAAGACACACATACACTTATACACACACATATTATTACACATATACGTTGAGTGTATTTTCTAATATTTGTGCTTATATTTGTTACTGAATTTCTCGTTAAGCGCGCATCTCACGCTATGGATTGCCCATTTTACAATTCATATAGAGCTGTCACACATACATACACACAGTCACACACTCATACATTACTGTGCATATATGCTGTATTTATATCATGTGTGTATTTTTCGTTTCTCCATTTCATGTGCGAACAAAAAATTCTATATAAATTTAATATATATGAAACTATATCGAAAAAAAAAACAAACAAAACAAAAAACATAAATCGAATAAATTAATACAATTTGCAGCTTGCACGGAGCATGATCGTGAGTACACGTTACCTTATTTCGGAGTTTTTCAATTGAATTTTATTTGAATTTCGCTCTCTGCCTTCTGCTCTTAACTATTCACACCCACACACACACACACACGTAAACACACTGCTGATGTTAATTGGTTTATGTTTATGTAATTTGTATTTATTATTTACACAAAAAAAGAAGCCATTTCTGTTCGCTGTTCGCGTTCTCATTGTATTTGATGTACATGCGAATACTTGATTGATTCATAAACGTATATCAAATATATTCACTTAATACTCATACTCTATGTTATGAATATATATATATATATAATTGTATAACAATGTTTGCGCTATGTTTTCATGGCTGTTGCTCAGTTGGGGAGCTGTCTCTCCCGCTCTGTCTCTCTATATAATTTCGTTTGTTTGTTCGTATATGTATCAGCTATCGTTAACAGTTCGTTCAATAAGCTCAGCTGCTATGCTATGCGTAGGCACACACACCAGCATAAACTACATCCACTTCATTGTACATATACCTGTATATATGGCACATCTAATATATAGATACATATACTCCGCACAGCTCGCAGATAATGAAGCGACCATGGTGATAAGCTTTAACTAATCTTCCAAAGAAATCTCCTTTATTGTACTCCCAAAAACAGGGTGGCTCCATGCCCAACACCTCGAGCAGCGTTCCGTTTCTATTGTCGTCGAGCATGCAGTCCATACGTTCGCGTCGCACTTCGACTGTTTTGTCGTCGGGTCCGCTCGGGTCTGGATCGGGCTTGCTGCAACAATTGGGATCTGGAATGGTAAGACAATTAACTTCCGTATCCGGTACGGTTAGTCCTGTGCCGCTATTGCGGGTCAATGGTACGCGCAGCAACAACAGCAGCGTCCGAAAGTGTCCGTCACTCAATATAACATTCAGTCAATAATATAACCTGAACGAAATCGGCGAGGCGCAACCCTTAGCTGATTTTCACAATTACAATTACAATAACAATTACAATTACAACAACTACAACAACAGAAATGTGCGCTACAGAGCACAGCAACGCAACCTCAATCTGAACTTGAATGCGCCAAAATATTAATGAAAAACTGAAAGCTGAAAAGTGAAAATTGAAAACCAAATTGAAATGAAAATGAGAAAATTCTTAAAAAGTTGTATGCAAAAAGGGGCAGAGGGTAAAATGAAGCAAAAACCAAATATATTTCTATATGTATACTTATAATTTACTATATACTATATATATTTATATCTAGTTTAGTTTAATAACTAATTAAATCTAACAACTAATTAAAACACATTTGAAAATTGTGTAAGAAATGTTGTTTTTTTATTATTATTGTTAATTAACTATAGACTAAAACGCATTCGTATATATGTACAATAAATGTTAATGTCGCATTATAAAACATATCTGACAAATCGTAACGAATATATATAAATACGTATATATATATATGTTTATATATATATATATATAGAATTTATTATGATTGTTATTATTAGAAATTAGTAGATCTATATTATCATTATCATTATTATTATTATTATTATAATTGTACCTACTTATTAGTTGTTGCTGCGTAATATCCACTCAACACACACACACATTCACACGCATACATATACACGCTCACATCGAAATTTGAATAAAATATTTATTCAAGAAATTATATGCAAAATGAATGCCAATTTGTTCGAGCTCTCATCACAAAAAAGAAAGTGCTGCGCGTGTCTATGTTTAACTAAATTATTCATAACAAAGAGACAGATTTTTTTAAGCACACACCAACACACTCACACATTTACACACACGCATATATATATATATATTTATATATATGTATATACTCGATATCCCAAAACGTAGTTTAAAGTAGTTTAATGTTCGAAACGTGATGTTAGTTTTATTTCCACTTCTTATCCATGTCGTCAAATCAATTGTTATTAAGACTTAGATTGTATTTAGGCCAAATAACTAACAATTAGTTAAGCACATGCACTAAAAGTTGACTTTTGTTTAAATATTGGGCATAGTCTAAGCTTAAGCTGACATTTGTGACAATCGCAACATTTGATTTTCTCCTTCGCCCCTCCAGAAAGTGGTTTTATATAGCTTGGATGGTTATGCTCCATAATCGAATGTAAATATATATATAAATATATAACTAATAATCTTAATTTAATTTCAAAATTCAATTCTTTGCTTCGAATCGCATGTGTTTTTTTGCTAAAATCTAAAATCTAAAATATATAAATTACATATCGAAGAGTTTTGAAACTCTGATCATATTGAAGTCGATTTAGTCAGTGAAACATTCATCTTGGAATTGAAGCAAAGTGATAGACTAAAGTTCAAGAATTATATATATGGATATATGGTAGATGTTATTAAGAGAGAGCAGTCTAAGAAGATTCTAAATATTTTTCAGAAAATCTTTTCCAATAGTTCAACAATTATATATTATATATATGTATATATATATATATATATATATATATATATATATAAATATATATATATACGATATATGATAGATGTTGCTAGGAGATTTTTAATATTTTTCTTGAAATGTTTTCTAAATGTTCAAGGATTATATATATGATATATGATATATGTTATCAAAGGAAATTCTTGACGCAGCAAAAAGGGAGTTCTCAATATTTGTCTAAAAATGCTCAAAATGGGAAATGTTTAGCACTGTGATAAAAGTGAATCATGAAATAATTCTGTAGTTAAATGTGGTATGATTAGCCACAACAATTATATAAATTTAGGATTGGTACTACTCGATTCCAAGAGCGAATTCCTATTAAGACGACTTCAACACATTCAAAGCATGCTCAGTTTCTATGTGACGAATATATATATATATAGTAAGTATATATATATGTAGTCATGCATCTATTGTGATTGTCTGAATACACTCGTAATACTCGTATTTGTATATATAAATTGAATTGAAATTGTTATTGTATATCTACAAGCTATTTAACTTGACTTGCCATTTTACTTTCTGCCCATCTGATTGCACAAGAATAAATATATATACTGTTATATATGCATATAAACATATGTATATATATATATATATATTTGTTATATATAGATATATATGTATATAATTGGAAATACAACTAATGCAATGCTAATAGAAGAAACGATCTGAATAGCAGTAAAGATTGCGAAATCTAAGTACTCGGAACCTTCTACACTCGTTTTGAATGACTGACACTGGAGGCGTATAGCCAAAGCTGAAGGCGCTGCTAAACTACACTAAAATCTAAAATCTTAACTCAAACTGAACGTTTAAATGAAACTAAAACTAAATTTATAAACTGACTAACGATGATATGATGTGCATTTGTATTTCTAACCAAACTCAATTTACATTTAAGTCACTGCGAATTTATTGTACTCATAACTGTAGTCGTGAATCATCGTATATATATATATATATATATATATGTATATATAGTATATATATAGTATATATATATATGTATATATACTATTTGTATTTAATGTTTCTAATACTTGACTGTGACTTTGTGCTTGATTTTCTTGTTGTGAAGCTCCACAGCATCCACACCCAAATTCAATCTAACCCGCATTTTCTCTGTGTGTATTTGTATGTTTGTTTAGCTATTCGAATTGATTTCTTTTGTTTATGTTTATTTTGTACACATATACTGTCAGTATAAGATATATTTAAGCTTCGAAATGTGCCTTAAGAGTTGAAAGTATATATATTTATATATATATAAATATATATATGTATATGTATAAACATAATTGGAAGAATATGAATACTTTTTATTAAAATATATAAATAATAATACATATATATGTATATTTATTTATGAATAAATGTTAAGTATGCTATAAGTCCAGGGTAGTTAACCAATCCACACTCTATACATAACACCCGACTCCTTCCCAACAGATGTACCTTAGTAGTGGTTTTTTAGACACGCATACTCATAGACCTACACCAGCCCATACCCATACAGTCTCCCACAGGCACACACTCCGACAATCACCTGCTCACATCCACTAATTCATACTCCCAGACTCCAAGTCACACATACTTTATCTTTCTCTCTCACACACATATAATCCCTCACCATAACACATAAGATACCTATTGAAACCAAAATAAAAAAAAAAACAATTAAAAATATAAAAAAATATTCGATGTGTAGTTTTGAATTGTACACATATATATACATATATATCCAAAGCAGATCCCAAATCCAAGGAACCTCGCGATCCGTAGCCGTATGTGTGCATGAATTTTGTACCCAGTAAAATCCTTTAACAGAAAACCTCCAAAAATATAACCAAGTGCCAAGTAAAGATCCTAACTTAAAAATTCGTTAGTCGTTGTCCTTTTATTATGCTATATATATATATAATATTTTCTATTATCCACCTAATTCTGATTCTACATATATATATTTATATATGTTTTTTGTATCGATGTCAGCTAATCCGCAGTATTTCGTAGTTATCGAGCAATAGCCAACCAAAATATCTCCCTCCATTTGTAATCGTAGAAACATCTCTATAGTTTATATTGAAGATCGTGTGAAAACCTTAAAATTTATGGCCTAATTAACTTTATTACAGTATCAACTATTCTCCGGACGTAACTAAAAAGATACAAGAAATTAAATTATTTATCCTAAATATATATATTGAATATATATTTTTAAAGCAATTTCGGTCCATTAAAGAAACACCAATAATCAACTTAAATTAGCGCTATATATGTATACAGTATTTACACACTAAACAAAAAACATTGTAAACGTCAGTCACATAACAAAAAAGAAAAAAGTTAAATATCTATATTTGAAAAGAATCTAAATGTTATTAGAGAGCAAACAAGAAGCAACTACAAAGCATATTTAAATAATTTATGTGTATTTAGATGACTCCACAAATGTGTGAAACACAATCCAGAAACACAACAACAAATACAAATACGAATACAAACACACAACAAACATAAATGCTAAATGCAATCAATCACACTACAAAAATATATTATATCAACCTCCAGCTACATGTCGACTATTTAATACACTAACTATATATATATATATATAAATATCTATATATATCATATACAAGAACAAATCATATACCAATATTTTTCGAATTATTTAAACTGCATATTACATATACATATCTAATCATGGCTAACATATTTCTATATAAATCCAGTTAGAACATCGGGAATGCGATTTCCCCTCTATCCCTTCTAATCTGATATGGAAAATCAGTTCAAATAGCATTTTATTTTTCGTATATAACATTTGAAAGAGTTGCATATTTATATATATACACAAAACTATTTACCTACATATATAAATGAAATCATGTACCTATAGCGTACCTACTTAAGAACAAATAATTCCAGAAAACTTTATGGCACAAAATAATTATATATCGATATATCATATTATAGCTCTGTTAAATAGCATATTTTTGATGGCAAAGCTAAGACATTAACAAGTTGATCATTAAACACAATTTTAAACAACTTTCTAGACCAAGTATCACCCATATCTAACCAAAAAAAAAAGAAAAATGTTTAGAAAACTACTACTAAGGTTAATACACACACATGTAACCAAAAGAAAACTATTTTTAGCTCGAACTACTTGAGAATTCTGGAAGTCAATTTGTATAGTATATATATATATATATATATATATATACAATTGGAACAAGAAAGCATTAAGCACTTTGAAAACAAACTCTGAACACAATATTAAAAAACCGAAATGAAATTAAAACAATTATTATTGTTGTAGTAGTTTTTTAACTTATATATATATATATATATATACATATATATACATATATATATATATATATATATATATATATATATATATATATATATATATATATATATATATATAAGATCTGTCATCCAGCAGAACAACACGAACGGGACAATCAAAATTCTATTGACGCCCTTACTTTATGTACGTACGAAAGTTGAGTTTTAATTAAAGATACGAAAAAAAGAAAAAACAAAATATATGTATGACAAATTTATGTTGTTGTTGTTGTTGTTGTTTTTGTTAATTTGAATGAAATGAGTATAAAATAGGTTTATAGTTAATTCCAGCAAACAATCAAACATGCATCAAATCTAATTTGCTTTTAATTTACATTTGATTTTTTTGGTTTATTTGGGGTTCTATAACAAAGCATTTTTGATATTATTTTCTAGTGTATAAATATATTATAGATTAAATTAATTTTAATTAAATTTTATGTAATCAACAAAAACATAAAAGAGGGGAAAACCAAAAAGCTCAAACTGGACTGAACATTTAAGAATTATATTATTATATTGTATTATTAACAAAAACAAAACCAAATATTGTAATATTAAATGAGTATTTATATATGTATGTATATCTGATTGTATGTATGTATGGAACACTTCAGTTTTTATATATATATGTGTAACACCACTTGTAAAAGAAAAGAAAACAAAAGAAAAAAACTACCAAAGGCGTATCAAATCAACTCTGTCTCTTGTGATCTATTTGTGATGCTATGAGAGATGCAAGGAGCACTCAACTCTTTTTATGCCTGTTAAAGTTTTAAACAACGCTCTACACTCTATTCTATACTTAGACTATGCAATACATTTTGGCATTACTCTTGCGAGAACAACTCTTGAAAACAATCATGCACAATAAATGATAAAACCGAAGAAGAATTATAAACTAAAAGCCAAATTTAAATACTTATATATACATATATATACTCTTTCATATAGACTACTTCAAGTAAATTGTGTGAAACTTCCTTCGTAAGCCCCTCAATTTAAATTTTAAATGTGCTAACAACTGTTTATACATAGAAATGTACTTAAATTATGTATGTATGTATTAATTATCTTACAAATACGTACAATGGGACAAGATATATACAAGATGCAGGCAGTCTATACACCTAAGTAGGATTGAAATTGAGATTGAGCAACTTTAACAGTTTTAAGGATTGTGACAAATGTACGTGTACAATTTAACTCGATAAACAATTGAATTTAAATGTTTAATAAATATGTGTGGATACGAATGTGTTTGATTACGATTTCTTTTACAATTCTAAATTTATTCATCTAAAAACAATGGATCCAAACTGCATTTGTTCGGCTCCGCCTCATAGTTGTACTCCTGCCTTTCATAGAGATTCTTCCCCATGCGCCGTGCCACATTATCGGAATGATCATTGTTGGCCTCCTCAATGAGCAGCTGCAAACAAGATTACGTGACTAACAAGACTTGAGAATGGATATGAGTTGCCTTACCTCAATTTCACGTGCAAGAAACGCTTCGCTGGCTGTGCCTAATTTCTTCTGCGGCTGCCCAGTTAGAGCATTCTCAAGAAAACCGTATACCTCACTGAAAAGTTACTATGATCATCATTGAGCCTCTAAATTAGCTTTGCAACTTGCCCCATGTTGATTCCATCCAGTTGATCCGGCTCTGGTTGCGCTTCTGTGCGCACTATGGCATTCAGCACGGCAGCTGCTTCATATTCGCAGAGTGCTGACAATTCCGCCGTGTTTAACAACTCTAGCCATTGGTTGATGTGGCTGAGGCTAACTGAATCACATTCTTGATTAACTCGGGTCTCTGCCTCTTTGTAGGCATGGCATATGTAATCTATAAATAAGAGTTTCTTTCATTGAATTATCAAGAAGCAAATAATCAATTGTTCACCTATGACATGCTCCTGATTGTTGCGCCTTGCCCATGCAACGGCTTCCAAATTGGCACGCGTGCAGCCATTTTTCTTTAAATAATCCAACACGACGCGTTTCACATGGCTTGTTACAATATTATCTGATTTCTTTTTGATTGGATCGTCTACGTCCTTTTTAATGGGTATATTTGGGTCCATCTTATAAAATTGTAAAATTCAGACTGCTTGTAAGCAGAACAGCTGTTGCGCTCGAGTGCTGCCCACTCGTTTTTGAAGCCCTGGTCACAGAAGCACTATACAACAATCTTTTAATATATGTTTTGCAGAATTAAAGATGATTATGCCTTTTGCAGATATGTACATATATTTATATGTGAGATTAAAATAATCAATGTGTGCTTAACTATACTCTAAAGTTACAACATTACGCAGATTTTTGACTCAAATTTGACCACAATGAATCACTCAGTTTTGTTCAATCATCTTGAACAGTCTAATTCAGAAGCATCGAGCAGTGTTAGAATACGAACGAGAGTGAACGGACGCGCGATTGCACTGCCCGCAACCACTGCCAGAATAGTTCCATGATTAACTCCTTTTGTTTCAAACGAAATCTTATCAACAAGCATAAAACGTAGCTAATTTTAAGGTTTAACAACCAAGTGCAATAATATATTGAATAATTTGCTTTTGAAAAAATAAGGATCACTTCTTTGCAAGTGAACAAAAGAAACGAAGCCAGTTTAAGTGACTCATTTCGACATACATTTATATTCCTATTGTTTCTGACATTGTCATTGCCATTATCACTGCCTGTTGAGCTGCGTCCGCATTGCGTTCAACAAACGAAACGAACCGAATCGAAAATAGAATTAACTTCCTCGACCTCAAGGCTCCATATACAGAGAGATCAATGCATAGCATGGAGGAAGTGGGAGAGCAAGAGAGACAGCGAGAACGAGAACGGGAACGGGAGGGAGATCATGATCAAGAGCGAGAGCTTGGCATGCAGCAGAAGCACCGCCAGCACATTAAGAATAACATGGAAACGCTTATCAAAAAAACCGACTACAATATCATAATGGCGGAAACAGTGCGCCGAGGTTTACTCTCGCCAGTGATGCGTCGCAACATTGAGGCTCTGCAGTCGATGGAATATGATATGACTGATGAGCAGGTACAGCTATTGCGGCACAAAAGGTACTTTGAGAAGATTACCAAACGTGGGCCCACTGCCTATGCGGAGCTGAAGGCAATTCTAAGAAGCATGAAACAATTAGATGCATTGCGTCTACTAGAAGAGGTCGACCCACAGGTTAACGACTTCGTATCGTTGACCCGTGCGAACAGCAACAAATCCACGGATATTGTTGACACTCGGGCCAATGAACCGCCCAGTGAGGGGGCAAGTGTTAGTAGAGTAAGAAACTTGCCTTGAATCCCCTTGATTTGTAAGTAAAATTAATTTCCATTGCAGAAACCGGCTTTACACAATGATGCAGGAGGTCCCTTGACGCCCTTTGTTGGCCAGGTGAATGGCCAACGTCGCCAGGTGACCAAGTCTACTCAGATTCACACTGACAATGTGCTCGGCGTATATCCCATGCAATCGAAGCAAAACCGTGGTGTTCTCTTTATAGTGAACATCATTGACTTCCCGGACCCAAATATAAAGCGAAATGGGGCAGATGGAGACAGCGAATCGTTGATTCACATCTTCCGTGAGATCGGATTCACGACATTCTATTACAAGAATCTTAATTGTAATCAATTCTTCGAAACCCTCCGCGAATTAACTAATTCGGATTATGTGCGCGATACAGAGTGCTTTGTCATGGTGTTGATGACGCATGGCGAGCGCTACCAGGAAGTGGACAAAGTGAACTTCAGCGATGGCTCTTTAAGCAATGTGAAGACAATCATCGATCACTTCCAGCCTAATAGATGTCCCAATTTGCTACACAAACCCAAGGTGCTAATATTTCCATTTTGTCGTGGTGAGACTCCAGATCATGGACAGAATGTAAAACACTCAGTGAGCACGAGCATGCGCATCCAAACTGATGGGATGCCCATTGACAATGTGCCCACATTGTCAGATATTTTGGTATGCTATGCCAGCACGCCCGGATTCGAGACCCATCGGGATCCCAAGGAAGGCAGTTGGTATATTCAAAAGCTCTGTGATACGATAGCCGAGCATGCACACGACACTTCGCTGGAGGACATGCTGAAGAAGACGAACTCGTTGGTGGGCAAAATGCGCACCAAGCGTGGCCATTTGCAGACTGGCGCCTTCGACAACCTTGGGTTCAATAAGAAGCTCTTCTTCAATCCGGGGTTCTTCATTGAATAGATTGCTACATATAAATTGACGAGCACAAATGGAAGCATTCCCATTCGACTGAATTGCATTTATACTTATCGTCTCTATGTTTAATATATATATGGGTTTATACATATATATAAATATCTCTGTAGCTGTTTTTTAAATTGTATGTTAATGTGCTATTGTCCCCTCCATATCTGCCAGTACTATATACTCCATGTATTGTTTTTTTATAAATACAAACTATATTTTGTATAACTATATCTAGTTTATCTTAAGAGTACTAAGCATCGTCATATTCATCCATTTCTTCCAAATGGGATAACTGTAGCTTGCCAGCGGCCCGTTGCTTGGCTTGACTTGGGCTATGTTGTTTCTTTAGCTTCTTCGTGGACTTCTGCCCAATCACATATTCGGGCATCACTAGCTTGGAGCCGCGCAGTTGTGGTTTGTCCAGCTCTACATCATCCACTTCACTTTCCTTTAGCTGCTTGAGATTGCGATTCAATTTGCTTGTCTTTTTGAACTCAATTTTAGCCGCTTTTCTGACTCCTGCTTCATCTATGTCGTCATTGTCATCCGAGTCTGCATCTCGCTGTGCATCCATCTGCCTTAGAAAGGACAAAGCGGCCGCTGCGTTGGTCTGATCGGAGATGTCCACATCGGAGAGAGAATACTTTTTCCACTTGTGTGGATTGACTTGGTAGTCCGGTGTTTTGCGCGGCTTCAGGCAACGTCCAATGGGCAGCTCTGGTTTCTTGAATATGCTCTCTTTTCCTCGCATACGGCGCAGCTTCTCATCCTCGACTTCACTGCCTGCTTCAATGCTGCGACCTTGTCGATAATTCATTACCGGGTTTCTATTTGTGACCTTCTGCAATGCGGAGACTGTATACGGCTTTGCTCTGCTCTGGTCTAGAGCCGTACCCTTTAACTCTTTGCTAGCATCATCGAGGCAGGCAAAAAGCGCATCGCGTTTTGCGCTAAATTCTTGCATTTTGTTATTTATTTTTTAATATTGTGTATAATTACAAAATGCGTGCTGCCAACTCATTTTTCAGTGAACAGCTGTTATTCGATGGGCACTTTTCAACACTAAATAGTGCCGGTGTAGAGTTAGTGGCGAAAAGTGTGCGAGCTTCGCGAAAAGTATAGTGTTTCTACAAAATCAAGGTGTTTATGTTTATAAATTAACATATAATTGTTATAATTGTATTTGAAAGTGAGTATTCGCTCTCAGCAGTACCAATAGGTAAATGCAATTTAAGAGAGCACGTTGAATGCAACCTCAGGTTAATCCATGTGACTGGGCGAAAAGCCATCTTGTTTCACAGAAAAAATACGTATATGAATATTAAAGTAACAGAATAGTCTCTTAATTTATGTTTATTAAGAGAAATTCCATTCGCAATTAGTACATGCTTAGAATTTTTTCACATTTGTATATTCCAATTGGCGTTGCAATATTATTTGAGGAGCTACCGTGATGCACCCCTGCGTGCAGTGCTGTAAAACTTAAACTGACAGCTGCGTGACAGCTGTTTTGTATTTGGAAGCGAGTATTTATTTCATCAAATCGAAGCGGAAACGTGAACACATTTAGTTGTTATTTACATGCTTGCTGACTAATGTGCGCAAGCAAATTGCAAAGTTGGACTGTGATCATTTGTGATATTTAGCATGTCCATACAAACGGGCCTGGCATTCATATTCACAATATTAGCTTCCGTTAGTATTGTAGCTGCCATTATTTTGTTGGGTAAGGCAGAGGAAATTGATGTCAGGGGCAAACTAAACAACATTTATGCATACATTATATATTTTAACTTAATTACTTTGTGTTGCAGGCTGGTTTTTGATTTGGAAGGCATTTCTCTCGAAATTTCGTCTTGTGCGTGAGCTGTTGGGACAAGAGGAGCAGGAGGAACAGCAGCTGGTCGGTGGGGAGCAAAATCAAAACGTTCGAGCACGTAAAGCGCGGCGTGACTAAGCAGACAGACACACACGCATACGCACACCTTGATATCCACACACAGGCACATTTATATACATAAATATATAACTAGGATCGAAGATGAACATCCGCTGCGCCAAGCCTGAAGACCTGATGACCATGCAGCATTGCAATCTGCTTTGTCTGCCGGAGAATTATCAAATGAAATACTATTTCTATCACGGCTTGACCTGGCCGCAGTTGAGCTACGTGGCAGAGGATGACAAGGGCGGTATTGTTGGCTATGTGCTCGCCAAGATGGAGGAGCCGGAGCCTGGAGAGGAGAGCAAACATGGACATATTACCTCGTTGGCGGTTAAGCGTTCCTATCGCCGTCTCGGCCTCGCCCAGAAACTAATGAACCAGGCCTCGCAGGCAATGGTCGAGTGCTTCAATGCTCAATACGTGTCGCTGCATGTCCGCAAAAGCAATCGCGCTGCCCTCAATCTCTACACAAACTCGCTTAAGTTCAAGATCATCGAGGTTGAGCCGAAATACTATGCAGATGGGGAAGATGCCTACGCCATGCGCCGCGATCTGCGTGAGCTTGCGGATGACGACAGCAAGCCCAAGACTAAGGACGGAGGCGACGAGCTGTCGGCCCACGACCACAGCAAACACACACACAGAGGCGGCGCCCACAATCACAGTGGACATGACGGCCATTGCTGCTGAAAAGATGAATATATAATTGAAATACAAAGAAATGACTAATAAGGATATGCATGCAGGATGCGTTTTTATAGTTTTGCATTTTTGTGCGATTAGGTTTTTTGTATTTATCTAATAAACACATAAAGCGCAGTTAAATTAAATAGAAATGACTAAACCGATGTCGTCCTATTGCTTCCCTCTGTTCATATGGGAACCCCCTGATTTGCTTTTGGGTTTCTTCTTCGAATGGAGAGTGCAGCCAGGTGGAAACATTTCTCAGTTGCGGCAACTTTCGCGCCAAAACTTTATGGTTGCACCTTAAACTTTTCGTATATTTGGCGTGTTCATCTGTAAGCTTAACTTTTCTGACAGTCTATTTGCAACTGTTCCCAGCTGTTTCCAGTGCTATAAAATAGTAAGCTTTAAAATTTCCCCATATTGTGGTACATTGCGAGAGTGAGAGGCAACAGCGCGAGCGCAGAATTGACCTGCCGCAACAGCTGTTCGGGGCCTGGCACGTGCACGGACTTGGCGCCAAAGCAAAACAACTGAGAGAATTTCCTTGCCGCTGAGCGAGCTGTTCCCGTGAAATCACAGCTGTGTGTTGTCAAACGTCAAAGTGATGCTGCTGCTAGCGCTGCTGCTGCCGCCATGGCTTCGGCTTTGGCTTCATGAGCTCGACGTAAGCGACGTTAGTTCGTGAGGCGCTGGCTGAGCAGTAACGTCACGGTCACGGGTAACGGTACCATTGAGACATCTATATCCATTTCTAACGGCAAACAGAACGTGCGTTGCAAAAGTGTTTATTAAGCATTTATCATACCAAATATAATTTACCAGTCCTGCTGCTTAAATAAAAGTGTGGCAAACTGGTGGGAATTTAAATGATGTTTTCATTTCCTAAGTGTGAGAATAAAAGTTGAACTGATGTGAATTTAAAATGAAATATGCCTTAATCAATAAGCTATCAGCAGGCGGCAAAATATGCAAAGTATGTTAAATTGAAATGATCAAAGACGCAACACACACACACATACAGTTATAAATGTATCGAAGAAGCGGCGCCCACTTTGCGGCAAAATGCAGTGTGAAATGCCAAAGTCAGGAGATGTTGTGAGATAGAAACGGGACTCAAAAGCAGCTGTTACTGTTATTGTTGTTGTTGCTGCTGTTGCTGTTGCCCAAACGGGGTCAAAAGTTCGTGTGTAAGTGAGCCCCCGACACTGTCTGCCTAATTTCGCCGCATCCACTAACTAACAGCACTAATACTTGTTAAAAGCTCTCAAGTGTAGCTGCATGTGTTCGCGCGTGTGAGTGAAAGAGAGAGAGAGAGAACGTAAGCAGAAGACGCTGGCCAGACAAAAGCGTCAGACAAGTGCGCCAAAATAGCCTACGGATAGACGCACACATGCACACAACTAGAAGTGGTATAAGAACACAGTTGCACACACACAGAAACACGCACACTTATGCATAGATCTTCATACGTATTTATATGTGTGTGGCAACGCAAAGACAAACTAGGCCAATTCGCGAGTGAGACAAAAAGCCAATAGGAAAGTGCAACAAAAAGAAGCAAATAAAAAAACTTCTGCCACATTTGTCAATGACTGGGGCCAACGACTCGCGTGACTTGAAGCATAACAATAACTGACTGCTGTGCCGCTCTCACGTGTTCCCTAGGTAAGTCACGAGCCGCAAGCCGCGCCGCCTTCACTTCAAAGCAAACTTCGCCAGCGAGTGTAATGACATTTGTCAACGACATAATGCCAAATGCTGACACTGCCTCGCACTGTGCCACGCCCACATAGCTCATAGTCATACTCATCATCATCATCGTCATCATCATTATCATGATTTTCCTCATTATGGTCTTTGTCACTGTCAACAGGAGTTTAGCTGCGTCTGTCAGTCGCAGCGTCAGCTATCGCATCATTTTTAAGCAAACATTTGCTTGCCACTGCTACTGCCTCTGCCGCTGCCCCCTGCTCTGCCTCTTCTCCTTTAAGTGTTTGGTACTCTCTGTTGGCCTAGTAGTACGTGTTGGCTCAGAGAGGATGTCAACAACTTTTACTTGGCAAGCGTGTGTTTGCCCGCTTGTTTGTGTCATGTTGATCAAATTTCCAGGGCTGGCAAAGCAGTCAGAACTCTTTGGGTGCAAATGGCCGGCCACGCGGCTTCCGTTTCAGATTTCATTGGATGCTGCTCGCATGATTGATGCCCATCACACGCGCAACTCTAATTAAAGTTATTTAGCTAGTCGGCGTCAGCTTCGTCCTCTCCGTCGTCATCCTGGCGCTGCAATTTTTCATTTTCCATCGTCTCGTTGTGCCCTGCCTCTCTGCGCCTCTGCCTATCGCTTTGAGTGTTTATGGCTTCGATTCAATTAAACAACTGGGTCAGCTGCGGTCGTATTGGCAGTGGCTCGGATCAGCCTCTAGTTCTTCGACTGCGCGGCAAAAATCAGCTTGCCGCATAATTAATTTCCAGCCAATGCATTCAGCTAGACAGGATGAAGGGAGAAATAATAAAAAATCCCTCACATATTCTCCTTTGTGTGAAAATTGCATATTTTAAAAGCGCGAATCGAAATTAAATTAATGAAATGCCAAAGGCTGTATATAATGCATGCTAATGTAGTCCAAAGGTATTTTAATGACACATATATAGCGTATTAAATGTGATTAATGGGAAAGCAAATAAACTGTTCCTAAATACAAAGAAATCCAGATTAGAAAGGTAAAGGCAAGTTGCTGAGGTTGGCACGTGCTTCCAGCAGTCTTTGTTTAACAGTTTTAAGCGAGAACTTTAAGATTTTGGCAGATGTTAATGCAACATTTATGTAGTTTCAATGAAAATTCAAGAGAATGGATAGTTGTGGAAGGCAAAAGTTGATAGGGAAATGCTTGGCAAGGAAACGATTTGAGATCAGTTGGTTGGGAGAAGGCAGGCAAGTAGATAAGGCAGAATGCATTCTTAAGATTAAGAGAGTATTCTGAAGTGATCAAGAAGAATTGGCCAATTGTTATCAAGGTTATTTCAGTCATAGATCTTATTTCAACTATTACTTCGTACAATAATATAATCAGACTTGATAAAGTTTGATGAACTTTTACTATTTAAGTATCAATTATAAAGCTCTGGTAGCTGCCCTCAGAAGAGCATAAGAAAATAAGATCCAATAATGTATACGTCAAGTAAAAGTTGTCTAAGCTTCAGGTGCTTCTTTAAATACCAGCGAAATGGCAAAACAATATCCGGAAATGGAAAATGTTTCGTTATTTTATTTTGAAGCCAATCTCTGACATGAGCTCATGTCAATTTTTGTTGTTCACGTTGCGTTCTATGAATCAAAATCAAAATCAAAATCAGCGCCCGGAAGCAACAGAGCGCATTAAATTGCTGAACCCACACTATTTGCTGCTGTTCTGGTTGTTGCTGTTGCGTTTGCTGTTGGTTTTTATCGAAGGACATGTATTTATGAATTAGAACTTTCCGCCTGTTTCACAAAGAAGAAAAAAACAAGCAACAAAAAATAGACAACGACATGAAATGTCCATTAAAAAACGCTCGCTTTTTTATTGCCACTGCGGCTTGTTTACGAGGCGATTAGTTTTAGGGGAACGTGGAAAGTAGAAAGTGCTTATTCATTAGATAAAAAGGGGCGGCAGGCCAGCAGCTGAGGTTGAAGTTTTGCGCTAAGTTTAGCAACATAATTTCGCAGCAATGAATTGGACTTTACGTCCAATATTTATCTACCAATCGATTTAAATGTCAAGCGAAATTTGTCCTGCGGGAGTCGAAGTGTGAAAACTTTGCGCCCAGGCAAAAGTTTACTCGAGCCGTGCAAAAAACACAGCAAAAGTTGATCAATGAAATTAAAAAGATTTATGATTTCGAGTTTCGGGCAAGTTTCAAATGAATAAATCCAAAAATGTTGCCCCAGCACACACGCACACTCGCACACACGCACACAATCAAAGCTGCGTCGCTTGGGGAGTTGAAGTTTTCAAGTGTCATCCATGCCAGGCGGCTGATCCTGCTCCTCCAATTACTTTGAATTGCAGCCATTTGGGTTAATGCGCGGACCCAGGTTCGCCATTGAATTGCTGCCAATAAAAAGGGCCAAGAAATAAAAAAACAAGAAAAAGAAAACTTATAATAATCAGCAAACAAAAGCGCGTTACATTCTATTAAAATCAAAAGAGGTTCACACACACACACACACACACACACACACGCAGACACAAAGAAAAGTCAAGTGAAATACAAATTATGTTAATTTAAAGTGAAGGTTAACCCAAAAATATGGAGAAGAAACTGTCGAAAGTGTTTAAACGCATTCAACGCATTGCACACAGAGGGCAACAAAAGGCGTTCTGGGGCCGCATTGGGCCAAGCTTCAGTTAACCGAATTTTCAAGTAGTCCGGACGGCTGTAGCCCCTGCCTGCTCTGCCCTGCTGGTCCAGCCTTCTCGATTCTATGCGCTGCCCTTAGTGGACCCGCTTCCGGCTGCCTTTGCGGCGGTGACTTACGGTTTGTTTGAACAAAGCCTCGACCGGGTTCAAGTGGCCAACTCCAGAATGAATACGAAAAAAATGGAACAAGGCAACAATGGAGCGCCGTCCCCCCATTTTTCGGCACAACTAAGGCTTAGGCACGCTAATTTTTGATGTTGCGTCAATGCAGCTGGCCACGCCCATTAATAAGACGCCAACATTTGTTTGCATTTGTCTTTTAGAAAAAAAAATATATAAATATGATCCAAGCAAAGAGTCGCGCAATTGTTGCTTTTGCTCCGAAAGAGAAGCTGTTGTCCTGGGGCGTGGCTTAGAGAGTTGCTGTTGCCAGATGTTTCTTTAATAGACCTTAGCTACACACACCCATATACACAGCCTCACACACAGCCTCACAGACACTTAGAGCGAGACGAAAGTGTGACTAAAAATGGGCGCAAAAATAAACAAGTCGCTTGTCGCTAGCTGAGCCCTTTTGCTTATCGCTGCCGTTATAGTTACCGTTATCCCAAAGAACACTGAAAGAAATTACTGAAATTTGACTGCATATTAAAATAATAACTGCCAGCCATTAAATTAAAGCAGATGCGTTTTATTGACTCATCGATGCTTAACGCATTGACTGGGATGAAAATGAGTTTGACTTTTTGTTAGAAGATTAGAAGTATATTTGCTTTATTTGCATAAGTTATTAAAGAAGCTCACTTTAAAGTGTATTTATGGTTTTGCAATAGAGTGTGTATATTCGTGATCTGTATTTAGGATCAATTTGATATAGTTTCTCTCAGAGTTTTCTCTCTACTTCTAAGGAGCACTAAGATATTTAGATTTCGTATGATTGATGATATCGAATGTTATTTGTATAGTTTCAAAACTAGATACTTATGCACAATATCTTATTCGTATGGAACTATTTATTATATATATTATGATGCAACTCAATTCTTTTTCCACTAAAATATTAGAACTATTCGAACATGATTATTTGCGTGAAGATCTTTTTCACTTTCAGAATTTCTTGAACCACCCCAAGTGTAGCAAGCAAACGTGCTTAGCTATGCGTCAGCCATTTCGCACAGTGTACATAGCCCCTAGGCATCTAGGCACTGCATATGGTGGGACATCACATGACCCGCATATCATCAGCCGGCTGTCGTTTGCCTTTTGGCAGTGCCCTACAACAACGACAACACCAACAACAAGCACAGGACAGACAGCAACAACAAAAAGCGCGCCTTTCGCAAATTTAAACAACGTAAATGGAAACGGCGTTGAAGAGAAAGAAAAAAATGTCACGCATACGCCGCGTTGAACCTTTTCTCATTTTTTTTCAGCTTGAGCTCGTTGTGTTTTCATTTTTTTTCTTTTCAACAATTTTGCAGAGGCAAATGGCAAATGGTGGCAAACGCAGCCGAAGGAGT